TTTATATGAAAGCTGAGCTGCATCTTCTGATAGATTATCTACACTCGGCTTGTTCTGTCTGCTGGTATCTAGAAGATCTTTTCCAAAAAATGCTTCCTAGACAAAGATGAACACATAAGAAAATTAGTTCTAAATTCTATAAAGCTAACATTATCTTGTCATCATTTTGACAAGAAAAGCTTTGCATTTAACAATAAAAAACTGAATACAGAAATACATAAAGATCCTGTCAATTTTGTAAAGGTTGTGAAATTAATTTTGATAGCTTTCTCAAAAACCAAATTAAGCAATTATAAACATAATTGTGTCAAATGTTTTTCTAGAAACTACAAAATAATTCATTTTTTAAAGAGTAATTTACAATCAAATTTTAAAACTGAGAGATGTGCAGTGTTACTGGCTCTTTAATTCACAGCACAGGCATAGGTACAGACATAGGCATCAGTATTTGTGGAATACCTGCTAAGGATAACACAAGATTCTGATCCATTACTGTAGGATCTGCACACCTCTAATGTCTACAGTAATCTCATACTGAAGCATATATTCCCATCAGAGTACTTATAAGTCTGAAAACTTCAGAACATGTATGGAACATTTGCAAGCTATGACAGGGTGCTGGCTTTCAGTTCATCTTCTCAGATGAACACTTCTTCATTAGAGGAGTAGTTCTTTAAAGTGAGTTCTTCTCAGAACTCCTCAGAGATCAACACAGAAGGCAGAAGGAGGACCTCATGACTCCTCTTCAAGTGCTTCAACCCAGCAACCTGGGATTAGGATATTTTCTTCTCTGTGGCCTTTCTGTATAAAGGACTCCAAAGAGTTTGCAGGAGCTAGCAACATTTATCATTCAAACATAAATAGAAGACTCACAGATACTTTTTGTTTTTTGAGAGAGGGTTTCTCTTGGTAGCCTTGGCTGTCCTGAGCTCACCTAGTAGACCAAGATGACCTTAAACACACAAAGACTGGCCTGCCTCTGCCTCCCTAAGTGCTGGGATTACAGGCATGTGCCACCATGCCTGGCAGTACTTTAAGTAAAAATGGCCCAATATCCACAGTAGGTAGATGCATAGTTAGTCACACTACAAAAAGAAGTGGGGCAGTGGATTGGTGTTACTTGCAGCACTGAAGTTTGACTCTGGATTTGAAACTTGGGCCTCACGAGTTAGGTTGACTATCTATGTCTGAGGTAGATCTCCAGAACAAAATTTAGATTTTAAAAACATATAAAGAGGACTAGCACTTGCCATGAAGCATGACAATCTCAATTCAATTGAGAATCACACAGAGGAAGGAAAAAGCCAACTTCTGCAAGTTGTCCTCTAGACCCCACTTGTGTGTCAGGTGATATGCACACACTGACTTGGATGTACAATGTGCACAAGCACACATACACACAATAAACAAATAGATATTTAGAAGCATATAGACCCATATGATCAAACAAAGGTTCTGAAGATACTTGAAAGATAAGTCCAACAAAATGTGCAAATGCAGACTTCTGTAAGACTATAAAATAAAGTATGCAATATTTCAGGGTCAAAAAAATGTGCTGGCTGGTCTTATTTCAACTTGACACAAGCTACAGTCATTTTGGAAGAGGGAACCTCAAATAAACCCTTTCTTCCCCAAGTTGTTTCTGGCTATGGAGTTTTAAACCCTAACTAAGGCTAAGTTAATAGTATTACTTTTAGAAAGGACATTGAAGGGCTGAGGAGTGTACTAAATAGTTAAAAGTGTTTTCTGGACTAATGTGGGGAACTAAGCTAGAATCCCTACAACTCATTTAATGCCAGCATAATAGCACATGTAAGCAATACTGTGTTCCTATGGCAAGATGGAAAGCACAGATAGGAGAATCTACACGAACTCATGAGCCAGCTAGTAAGTTAGACGAAATCAGTAGACAAGGAAAACCTGTGTCAAACAGGATGCAAAGTACACTCAGCATATTAAATGATCCTCCTCTATTTGTATGCCATCTCTATTTGCATCCTCTCTCTATTTGCGCACACGCACACACACACACACACACACACACACACACTGAACTGAAGTCTGAGAGATTCTATCTTATTCAATTTTTTGAGATTTTTAAAATGAAAACTGCATTTGAAAATCTACGAAGCTATAATAATAAAGAATGCTGAAGAACATAAAACCTATTTAATGTTTACAAATTAATCACTAGTGTAGTCCCTTAAGTATAATTTTTAATAACCCGAGATCACCATTAAACGACAGTTTTAATTTAAAAAAAATACAATATTTTAAACAGGAAACAAGTTAGGAGCCTGCCACAGAGGGCCTCTGAAAGGCTCTGCCCTGCAGACTATCACAGCAGATGCTGAGACTTATGGTCAACTGTTGGACAGAATTCCTGGAATCTTATGAAAGAAGTGGGAAATAGTAGGATCTGGAGAGGACAGGAACTCCACAAGGAGAGCAACAAAACCAAAAAATCTGAGCATAGGGGTCTTTCCTGAGACTCATACTCCAACCAAGTACCACGCATGGAGATAACCTAGAACCCCTGCACAGATGTAGCCCATGGCAGTCCAAGTTAGTTCCATAGTAATGGGAACAGGGACTGCCTCTGACATGAACTGATTGGCCTGTTCATTGATCACCTCACCCTGATGGGGAAGCAGCCTTACCAGGCCACAGAGGAAGACAACACAGCCACTCCTGATGAGATCTGATAGACTAGGATCAGAAGGAAGGAGAGGAAGACCTCCCCTATCAGTGGACTTGGGGAGGGGCATGCGTGTAGAAGGGGGAAGAAAGGAGGGATTGGGAGGGGAGGAGGGAGGAGTTTATGGGGAGATACAAAGTGAATAAAATATAATTAATAAAAATTAAAATTAAAATACAATATTGTAATGATTCATGATGACTTTCTTGCTACTTATCAAAGTTTATATTTGAAAGAATTTGTTTTTTTATTCCTTAGAATTAACATCAGAGAGAAGCTCCATGTGGTTTTCAAGTAGACATTGTGAGTAACTCCAAGAATGAACCACAACCACCAGAGTAGAGACCTTAACGGACAAATGATTATCATCTAAGAGACAATGTAGGAGTTGGTTTTCTCCTTCCCTAGGGTAGTTCCAGGGATCAAACTCAAGGCTTTAGACTTGAAAGCAAAAGCTTTTACCTGCTGAGCCATTTCTCTAGATTAAGATTCAATATTTTTAGAAATTCCTTTAAAACCAGACATGTTGGCTCATTCCTGTAATTCCAACACTGAAGAGATGGAAATGAGATACGTAGCTCAATCATCCATGGCTACACATCAATCAATTTGAGGCCAATCCAGGTAAAACTGTCTTTAAAATAAATAAAATAAGCTGCACAGTGGTGGCACTTTAATCCTAGCACTCAGGAGGCAGAATCTAGCTTAGTCTATACTACATGGGAGTGATCTACACAGGAGTTCCAAGACGGCCAAGGCTACACAGAGAAACCCTGTCTTGAAAAACCAAAATATGTAGATAGATGATAGCTAGCATAAGCAAAATAGAAAAAACAATCAAACAAACCACACAGAGAAAATAAAAACCCCAAAACAAACAAAAAGGCAGGGAAGGAAAAAAATGTCCAAGAAAGAATGTATTTAAGTGCTCTTTCATAAAGAGCTGGCTTCCATACTTTGGTAATCAGCTAAAAGAATTTCCTAAATATGGATTATAGATAACAAAAAGATCCATAGGAGAAGGGAAAGACCACCTTCCCAGTATATCCCAAAAATAATGTCAAGAAAGGAGGAAAAGGAGCCAAGTGAGACTTTTATCCTGGTTATTAAAAATCTAAGTTCATTGATATGTCACCTGTTCATATTAGAAAGTTAACATGGGGCTGGAAATGGAGAGATGGATCAGTAATTGTTGCTCTTTCAGAGAGTCACAGCACCAATATGGGGGCTCACAGTGTATGGAACTCTGGTTCTAGGGAATCAGATACCTTATTTGGTTCTCTGTGGGAATCAGGCAATGATGAAACACAGGAGAGTTAAAAAAAGGATTAGCATTTCACTTTTCCTTGTCAAAAATATGCAATTAAACACTTATTGTTGTTGTTGAACTGTTAGAACAGTTTTAAATGAAGGTTTAGGAGCAAGGGATATTCTTCAGTTAGTACAGTGCATATCAAGATGCATGAACCTCAAGGCCAAGACCAGTAAGCCACAAGAGATGCTGTATGAATAAATGAATAACAGCAGGAAGTTGAAAGTATATATTATACTTTCAAGAGCATGGTATAGTGGTACATGTCTTTTAATCCCATCATTCAGTAGACAGAGGCAGACAAAGTTCTGTGATTTCAATGGCCAGCCTAGTCTACATAGCAAGCTACAGTGATCCAGGGCTGCCTAGTGAGAGCCTGTCTCAAATAAGGAGAAGGTACAAATTAGAGACGAGAGGGGAGGGCAGAAAAAGAAGCACAAAGACAATCCAAAAAAAGGAGGGAAGGGATTGTTTTCCTACGAAAAAATTTTGTTTTAAAAATAGTATAGATGCTGAGGAGATGACGCTGAGTAAAATACTTGTTATGTAAGCAGAAGAATTTAAGTTCTCTAGGCACCAAGTTAAAGCAAGAGATTCTAGGCTGAGTGGATATAGGGGAATGAGCAGAGACAGGTAGAGCCCAGAGGATCACTGGCCAGCCAGAGCAGGCATAACAGTGAGTAACCTCTAGGATGAGCGACGATATTCTATGGCAAAAAGTGAGGTAGTGTCTGGTGAGATGGCTCAGCAAGTAAAAGCATTTGCTGTGTGGGCCTGACAGTCAGACTCCACAGTGGAAGGAGAAAGCTGACTCCTAAAAGCTGTTATCTGTCATTAATGGTTACCCCTTAGCAGACACCCTCATACACAATAACAATAATAAATTTTAAAAGGGAAGTATTTATTAAATATTAAAGGAAGAGATCAGATGTGAATTTTTCTTTTTTATTATAATTTATTTTATTTAACAATCTAGGAAGCTCACAGCCATCAGTAATTCCAGTGCAATTTCATGTACTGGAATTCAGAAATCTCAGTGGAGCTGTTAGCATAGTGGACCTTGTAAGTAAAATACATGCAAATTTTCGATAGCATGAGCAAATGCATGGCTATAAAATTTGACCTCACTGGTTCATTCTCAGCAAACTGCCCTGGCCTACCCAACATGGGCTTTATTATTCCTGTTGTTAACGCATGTTCTCTTTTTACAATAAATTTATCACCATCAGAAGATATTAATTTGACATACATGGCATCAGGGCCTTCACAGCCACCATAGGTTTTTTCCTCCTCCATCCACTATGTTCTTATAAAACTTTTACTTGATGCCACAGGAACTTTAATAGTTTCCTGGAGAGACCGACACATAGTCTGCTTACAACTTGCATCTGAAGAAAGCAAGTTGTGTTCTCAGATGTGAATTTCTAAGCACATATACACAGGCTTACTGTTCATGCCCAGCTCTAAACACAGACACACAAACTCTGACTGAAAGGCTAAGCATTTCAACAGTATACAGCCAGTAAGATGTTGGTAGTCTAGGGGTGAGGAGACAGTTCAATAGCTAAAGTGCTTGCTGCATACACATGAAGATCTGAGTTCAATCTTTAGAATTCTTGTTAAAAATTCTGGTGGCCTATGCTTGTAAATTCAGTGCTGAGGCTATACCTGGAGCTTACCGGCCAACTATTCCATCTCAATCAATGAATCCCACATCACAATGAAAGAGTCTGCATAAAAAATTAAATAAAGGTAGACAGCTTGGGAACAGCCCTAAGATTGGCCTTTGACCTCTACCCACAGTGCATGTGTTCACACCTATACTTCTACAAACATACACAAAATTAATGTCGGTAACCTAATTACTAAAGAAGAAAACTAAGCAAGCTACCTGGTAATTAAAAATTATTAAAAAAAAAAAAAAAAAAAAAAAACATGATAGAAGCCTGGTGGCACACACGTTTAAAACTGGCACTCAAGAGGCAGAAGCAGGAGGATCTCTGAATTTGAGGCCAGTCTGGTGTACAGAGCTTAATCCACTATAGCCAGGGGTACATACAGAAACATTGTCTTTAAAAAAAAAAAAAAAAAAAAAAAGTAACTACTGGAAAGTTAAAATATGCGTATTTTAAGCAAGGTATACGTTTAGAACCTATAAAAGAGACGGATCATAGGAATAGTGTTAAATACTAAAATTAAGATAATTCAATTTTTACATGTGAAGAGATAAAGGTGTAGAAGAAATACTAGGAAACTAAGTATTAGGTAGCATAAGGTGGGGATATTTGCAATCTATCCTACTTCTAACATGGCATTTTTGCCAATATATCTTGGAATTCTTCTGTGACTTAATGTTTACAAAACAAACTAGAAAGATTAACTCTTTTTTATGGTAGCCTACATTTACTATCTTCTTCAAAATTATGGATGTATTTGGAAAGCACACACATACACACAAACACACACACACACACACACAAAAAAAAAAAAAAAAACAAGGTAGGCAAAGGCAAGTGGATCCCTGTGAGTTCAAGGCCTACCTGGTCTACAAAGTGAGTTCAGGGTTCAGGACAGCAAGGGCTACACAGAGAAACTCTGTCTCAAAAAACTAAACTAAACTTAAAAAAAAAAAAAAAACAAAAAACAAAAAACAGTTTGTTTTAGCCAAGTATAATAACAAACAATTCCAAAACTGAGGAGGCTGCGACTGGAAGATCAGGTATTGAAGACCAGTTTGAACTTTATAAAAACAGCCTGTATCAAAAACTTTGCAATAATAGTTCTTTGTTTCTCTTTGGCTTAATTCCATGTGACAAAAAATTACTAAACCTATGATTTTGGCTGCTGGGAACTTTTCTAATAGTACTATAACTGATAAATGGAAATATCAATAGGAGCTGGTTTTGGCATGTGTACATATATGTATGATTTTAAGTAGCATTTCCCATCCTGAAAATATCTTCATTATGGTCAACAGCACACTTATAAGTAAGAAAACATAATTTATATATAGACAGGCAGACAGATAGAACAAATTCATATGGCTAGAACACAGGTCAGTACAGGATAGCTGTCTGTGTTCACGAAACTCTAACCCTGATCCCCAGAACTGCAAGCACATGTGTGTACATACACACATCCCTTCATGAAAAAAGAAAAAAAATCAAAGCACACAAAAAAACCAATTTTTCATTCTTTGGTGAAGCCTGGTAGAATGAATGTCATTTATGACAATCAGTGAAAACAGAATGAACAGAATGTCAACAAAAACAAGCATTTTTTTTTTTTAAAAAAAGCATTCCCTAAATTAGCAAACCACATAATAAAGTTAAGGAAAACATTACTTGTAAATAAGCAGGAAAGGTTTCTTCAAGCTTATTTTTCCTTTTTCGGTATCTCTTCTTTATTTTTTCAGTGCTTTCAGCAACAGAAACAGGCTCATCAACTAGAGTATCTGGTAACTGCTCATTCCAGCCTGAAAAAAGAGCCATGTTTATAAACATGTAGCAGATACTTTCCAGAAATATATGATCATTTCATAGCATACCAAAATGCATAGCTATACATAAAGAGACAAGCGTTTACTTCACACACAAATCTAAATTGTAAACATCTTGAAAATTCTATTCCTTATCTATTTAGTATTAGCACAATTCCTATCCTTTCTTTTTGGGGGTGAGGTCAGGGTTGGGCAGGGTCTCAATAACTAGCATTTCCATGCAAAGTAAAAATATAACTTGTTAAACAGTACATTTACAGATTTCAAAGGATTAAAACACCAGATATATGAGGAAATGGCTACTCACAAACTACTAAAGAAATTTCAGTGAGTATGGATAGCACCTTTCTGCAGCTGAAATAGTTTATTAAAAAAGAAGTACTGATAAACATAATGAAATCTATATACCTAAAGAAGATAAACAAGAAAGAGGACACGGGTTAAGATGATCTACCCTCACTTAGAAAGACAAATGAGATGTGCATTGGACGTAGGAGAAAACAAGTAACAGGACAGGAGCCTACCGCAGAGGGCCTCTAAAAGACTCTACCTAGCAGTGTATCAAAGCAGATACTAAGACTCATAACCAAACTTTCAGGCAGAGTGCAGGGAATCATATAAAAGAAGGGGGAATTAGTATGACATGGAAAGGACAGGAGCTCCACAAGGACCAAATATATCTGGGCACAGGGGTCTTTTCTGAGACTGACACTCCACCAAGGACCATGTATGGATATAACCTAGAACCTCTGCTCGGATGTAGCCCGTGGTAGCTCAGTGACCAATTGGTTTCCCATAGTACGGAGAACAGGGACTATTTCTGACAGGAACTCAATGGCAGGCTCTTTGACACACACACCCCCCAACCCCTTAAGGGAGGAGCAGTCCTGCTAGGCCACAGAGGAGGACTTTGCAGCCAGTCCTGAAAATACCTGATAAAACAGGGTCAGATGAAAGGGGAGGAGGCTTCCCCTATCATTGGACTTGGAAAGGGGTAGGGAGGAGATGAGGGAGGGAGAGTGGGATTGGGAGGGATGAGGGAGCAGGATATAGCTGGGCTACAGAGTTAATAAAATGTAACTAATAATAAAAATTTTAAAAAAAGTAATTTATCATACCATGGAATTTGTTTTATCTTTTCTATCAAATATCAGACAACTCCCCTGAGAACTTAAAAATAGAACATGGCCCTAAAGTTTGTAGCAGTAAAAAACAGTAGGATTGATTTAAGTTTCTCTCTGTTTTAGTTTGATGTTGGCTATAGGCTTGTTATACATTGAAGAGGATGTGGAGAAAGGTGAAGCCTCCTACACTGCTGGTGGGAATGTAAACTTGTACACCACTTTGGAAATCAATCTGGTACTTTCTCAGACAATTAGGAATAGTACTACCTAAAGATCCAGCTATTCCACTCCTAGGCATATATCCAAAACATGCTCAAGTATACAACAAGGACATTTGCTCAACCATGTTCATAGCAGCTTCATTTGTAATAGCCAGAAGCTGGAAACAACCAAGATGCCCCTCAACTGAGGAATGGATACAGAAATTGTGGTACATTTACACAACAGAATACTACTCAGCAATTAAAAACAAGGAAATCGTGAAATTTGCAGACAAATGGTGGGAACTGGAAAAGATCATCCTGAGTGAGGTATCCCAGATACCTCATGGTATATACTCACTTATAAGTGGATATTAGACATATGATATAGGACCATCGTACTAAAATCTTTATACCTAAAGAAGCTAAGCAAGAAGGAGGACCCTGGGAAAGATGCTCAATCCTCATTCAGAAAGGCAAACAGGATAGACATTGGAAGAAGGTGAAAACAAGGAATAAGACAGGAGCCTACCATAGAGGGCCTCTGAAAGACTCTACCCACCAGGGTATTGAAGCAGATGCTGAGACTCATAGCCAAATACTGGGCAGAATGCAGGGAAAGAAGGGAAAGAAAGAAAGCCCTGGAAAGGTCTGGAGCTCCACAAGGAAAACAAAAGAACCCAAAATCTGGGCACAGGGGTCTTTTCTGAGACTAATACTCCAACCAAGGACCAGGCATGGAGATAACCTAGAACCCCTGCACAGATGTAGCCCATGACAGCTCAGTGTCCAAGTTGGTTCCCTAGTAAGGGGAACAGGGTCTGTTCCTGACATAAACTTATTGGCTGCCTCTTTAATCACCACCCCCTGAGGGGAGGGGAGGGGACGGGAAGGGAGGAGCAGCCTTACCAGGCCACAGACAAATACTATGAAAGACAGTCCTGATGAGACCTGATAGGCTAGGGTCAGATAGAATGGGAGGACCTCCTCCCCTATCAGTGGAGTGGAGAAGGAGCATAGGAGGACATGAGAGAGAGAGGGAGGGAGGGCAGGATTGGGAGGGGATGAGGGTGGGGGCTATAGCTGGGATACAAATAAACAAATAAAAATTGTATTAAAATGTTTTAAGGGTAACAAAAGGGTAATAAATAGTATTTGAAATGAATTTGCTTTACTTTTATTAGACATAAATGAAAATGCTGAACTAAAATACTGAAAAATGCTGAACTAAATATCTTATGTGGATAATTAAAAACACAGAAATTCTTTAATTATGGATTCTTAAACTCCTATTAGGTCAAATCAGAAACTTCTTGAAAATAAATATAATTTTTCCTAAAAACAAAAAGGAACCTCTAACTTTTTGAAATTAATTAAAGTTTCAAAGAAAAAAAGGAGTATTTTGAAGGCATGGTGAAAATATCTTCAATTTTTATGTATTCCATCTTAAGACGTATCTTAAAATACATAAGC